AGGGGGAATCCTAACAGGGACCCTGCTGTAAGGGGGCACTCTGATGGGGACAACTGATGGGGGAATCTAACAGGGACCCTGCTGTAAGGGGGCACTCTGATGGGGACAAACTGATATAAGGGGGAACCTAACAGGGGACCCTGCTGTAAGGGGGCACTCTGATGGGATCTGATGGGGGGAACCTGCTGTAGGGGTGCTCTAATGGGGGTACTCTGATGTGAGAGGGGCACTTATGGGAACACTGATGTAAGGGGGTACTCTGATGGGGACACCTGATGTAAGGGGGGCACTCTGATGGGGACACCTGATGTAAGGGGGCACTCTGATGGGGACACCTGATGTAAGGGGGTACTCTGATGGGGAAAACTGATGTAAGGGGGAATCCTGACAGGGACCCTGCTGTAAGGGGGGACTCTGATGGGGATAACTGATCATATGTAAGGGGGCACTCTGATGGGATAACTGATGGGGGCACCTGCTGTAAGGGGTGCTCTGATGGGGGGTACCTGATGTGAGGGGGCATTCTGATGGGAATACTTATGTAAGGGGATACTCTGATGGGGACACCTGATGTAAGGGGGTACTCTGATTGGATAACTGATCATATGTAATGGGGACTCTGATGGGAATCCTGATGTAAAGGGGTGCCCTGATGGGGGTACCTGATGTAGGGGGGTGCTCTGATGGGGGTACCTGATGTAAGGGGGCACTCTGATGGGGACACTTATGTAAGGGGGCACTCTGATGGAGTCGTCTGATATAAGGGGGTACTCAGATGGGGGAACTTAATGTAAGGGGGAACTCTAATGGGGGGTACCTGATATAAGGGGGCACTCTGATGGGGACACCTGATGTTAAGGGGGCACTCTGATAGGGACACCTGATGTTAAGGGGGCACCCTGATGGGGACACCTGATGTGAGGGGGCACTCTGATGGGGTCATCTAATGTAAGGGGGCACTCTGATGGAGTCGTCTGATATAAGGGGGTACTCAGATGGGGGCACCTAATGTAAGGGGGAACTCTAATGGGGGTACCTGATGTAAGGTAGCACTCTGATGGGGGCACGTGGTGTAAGGGGGTGCTCTGATGGGGGTTCCTGATGTAAGGGGGCACTCTGATGGAGTCGTCTGATATATGGGGGTACTCAGATGGGGGCACCTAATGTAAGGGGGAACTCTAATGGGGGTACCTGATGTAAGGGGGCACTCTGATGGGGACACCCGATGTGAGGGGCACTCTGATGGGGACACCCGATGTGAGGGGGCACTCTGATGGGGACACCTGATGTTAAGGGGGCACTCTGATGGGGACACCCGATGTGAGGGGGCACTCTGATGGGGACACCCGATGTGAGGGAGCGCTCTGATGGGGACACCTGATGTTAAGGGGGCACTCTGATGGGGACACCCGATGTGAGGGGGCACTCTGATGGGGACACCCGATGTGAGGGAGCGCTCTGATGGGGACACTTATGTAAGAGGGCACTCTGATGGGGACACTTATGTAAGGGGGCACTCTGATGGGACACTTATGACACTCTTATGTAAGAGGGCACTCTGATGGGGGACACTTATGTAAGGGGGCACTTTGGGGACACTTATGGGGTCACTCTAATGTAAGGGGGCACTTTTGATGGGGTCATCTAATGTAAGGGAGCACTCTGATGGGGACGCTGATGTTAAGAGGGACTGTGATGGGGACACCTGATGTGAGGGGGCACACAGATGGGAACACTTATGTAAGGGGGAACTCTAATGGGGATCCTGATGTAAGGGGGTACTCTGACAGGGACTCTGATGTAAGGGGGCACTCTGATGGGGACACTTATATAAGAGGGCACTTTGATGGGGACACCTGATGTTAAAAGGGACTGTGATGGGGACACCTGATGTGAGGGGGCACTCTGCTGGGGACACCTATGTAAGGGGGCACTCATTGCGAATGCCCACCTCATCCAGCGTTACAATGCGCCATGCCAGATCTCACCAGCCAAGATCTGCCTGTACTGCATAGAGAAGCACATAGTCCCAGTGATGACATCACTGGCTCTAAAATAAGGTATGCCCTGAAAACAGGGAGGTTTTAGTTAAAAAAAAAAAAAACTTGATGAGTGGGGGGAGGGGGGGAACCAGAGAAATGCAATGAGGTTGATTAAAACTTCTGCTGGCAGGAAACACGAATGATACTTTGTAACGACTTTCTTATTATCGGAATTATTGTTATACAGGATTTCTATATATAAAGGGAGACAGTACAGTTACAATATAATACAAGAGGGTGGGAGGGCTCTGGTCATAAGAGCTGACAATCTAATCCTAGTTAGTCTCCCTTTTAGGGCCGGTTCACACTCCATGCGTTTCAGTTTTTTTTTTTTTTCTGCATCCAAAACGCACAGAAAGTCGGTGACATGGTTATAATAAAGACACGAGAGAGCGCTAGGTATTGAGCCGCTCGCATGAAGGTGAAACCTCTTACCCTCTAAACGAGTGTGCAGCGCTGAACGATAATAAAGCGATTACTGCGGGCGCCTTATAGCGCGATGGGCGATCGATCAAGTATGAGGCGAGTCGTCCAATGATGACGTAGCAGCAAAGTAAATAAATAAATATATATAATTATAAAGTAACCTGAGTGATTTTTGACATGTATAAAAAAGTCCGGCAATAAGGTGATCCGTGTCGGTGAAATCCGTGACTGGAGCTGATCATGTGATTGCGCTCACCAGAAGCGCGATTTAAAAGCGCATTTGTGTATATAATATCCCGTCGTGGTCATCTGGGTACGGGTAAGGATGGTGGAAATCATTCGGCATGCAAGGTAACTTCAGACCTCTCTCATAGTATCCAGGGACATCTCTTCAGACCTCTCTCACAGTATCCAGGGACATCTCTTCAGACCTCTCTCACAGTATCCAGAGACATTTTGTCAGGACCTCTCTCACAGTATCCAGAGACATCTTGTCAGACCTCTCTCACAGTATCCAGGGACATCTCATCACACCTCTTTCACAGTATCCAGAGACATCTTGTCAGACCTCTCTCACAGTATCCAGGGACATCTCGTCAGACCTCTCTCACAGTATCCAGGGACATCTCGTCAGACCTCTCTCACAGTATCCAGGGACATCTCGTCAGACCTCTCTCACAGTATCCAGGGACATCTCGTCAGACCTCTCTCACAGTATCCAGGGACATCTCTCAGTCATCCAGGACATCTCTCTGACAGTATCCAGGGACATCTCGTCAGACATCTCTCACAGTATCCAGGAACATCTCGTCAGACCTCTCTCAGTATCCAGGGACATCTCGTCAGACCTCTCTCACAGTATTCAGGGACATCTCTTCAGACCTCTCTCACAGTATCCAGGGACATCTCTTCAGACCTCTCTCACAGTATCCAGGGACATCTCTTCAGACCTCTCTCACAGTAACCAGGGACATCTCGTCAGACCTCTCTCACAGAATCCAGGGACATCTCGTCAGACCTCTTTCTCACAGTATCCAGGGACATCTCGTCAGACCTCTCTCACAGTATCCAGGGACATCTCGTCAGACCTCTCCCACAGTATCCAGTGACATCTCGTCAGACCTCTCTCACAGTATCCAGGGACATCTCATCAGACCTCTCTCACAGTATCCAGAGACATCTCATCAGACCCTCTCACAGTATCCAGGAACATCTCGTCAGACCTCTCTCACAGTATCCAGGGACATCTCTCGTCAGATGGAAACACAGCAAGAACTGGGGAATCTCCACCTTAGAGCTCATCAGTAATGAGCCGGAGAATAAAGTGCTTGATAGTGCTGTATTCTATTGAAAACTGGCAAATGCAGATAATACAGAGCAGGAGTTACACTCACTTCTGGGATTTAGCAATGTAAAATGGCCATCGGCCTTCCATGCGGCGTGACGTCACAACAGACAAGCTCCTCACTGATGCGTTTTGTGCTTGTGCGCGTTATCTAAGGTGAAGATTCCCCAGTTCTTGCTGTGTTTCCCATCCGGTGGTCTATGAGGTCTAACGAGATGTCCCTGGATACTGTGAGAGAGCTCTGAAGAGATGTCCCTGGATACTGTGAGAGAGGTCTGAAGAGATGTCCCTGGATACTGTGAGAGAGGTCTGACGAGATGTCCCTGGATACTGTGAGAGAGGTCTGACGAGATGTTCCTGGATACTGTGAGAGGTCTGATGAGATGTCTCTGGATACTATGAGAGAGGTCTGACGAGATGTCCCTGGATACTGTGAGAGAGGTCTGAAGAGATGTCCCTGGATACTGTGAGAGAGGTCTGAAGAGATGTCCCTGGATACTGTCAGAGAGGTCTGAAGAGATGTCCCTGGATACAGTGAGAGAGGTCTGTGAAGACATGTCCCTGGATACTGTGAGAGAGAGGTCTGACGAGATGTCTGACCTGGATACTGTGAGAGAGGTCTGAAGACATGTCCCTGGATACTGTGAGAAAGGTCTGACGAGATGTCCCTGGATACTGTGTGGGAGAGGTCTGAAGAGATGTCCCTGGATACTGTGAGAGAGGTCTGAAGAGATGTCCCTGGATACTGTGAGAGAGGTCTGCAGTTACCTTGCATGCTGAAACGTGTGCCAGATGATTTCCACCATCCTTACCCGTACCCAGATGACCACGACGGGATATTATATACACAAATGCGCTTTTAAATTGCGCTTCTGGTGAGCGCAATCACATGATCAGCTCCAGTCACGGATTTCACCGACACGGATCACCTTATTGCCGGACTTTTTTATACATGTCAAAAATCACTCAGGTTACATGGTTGTCAGTGTCATAGGTTACATCAGCGCTTGCAGTCCTGGTGCGTTCCAAGTGCAGAAAAAAAAAAAGTAGAACGGGAGGCATTTTTTCTGCACAGAATTGTCTTGGAATGCAGTAAAAACACATCAAAAACGCACCACAAACGCATACGTCCCTATTTAAATTGAACTGGAATGCATACAAAAACGCACCGTAACGCACCAAAACCGCGCATGCAGAAACGCATCCGGAACGCACCTGGACCGCGTTTCTATAGTGTGACAGGTGATAGAGACGGTAGTAAAAAATGGTGAAGGGGGGGAGGGGGGGGGGGGAGGCGTCTAAATATATCCAAAAAAATGAAAAAAAATCCCGGCCGCAGCAGCAGGTAAAATCATTGCGCAGTTGCCGTTTTTAAAAGCCGGGGCCCCTCGGCGTACCTTTATATGGCGTGCTGGGTCAGGCCGGGCGAGCGTCTCCGCTGACTCCAGTAAAACCTCGCCCCCCCCCCCCCTGCCCTCCCCCAGGCCGATCGATGAGCCCCTGGCCAAGAAAGGCCTTCCTCGGCTGGCAGATGGGAGGTGCGTTGAGTGCCGCTGGCGTGCGTACCGCCGTCTGGGCACTGCTTAGGTTACAGGCTGAACTGCACCATCAGGGGAAAAGGTTGCTCTCTGCATGGCTACACATGGCCTGAGCTCCGGAAAAAGAACCCGACCGGCTTAGAGGGAGAGAGATCTCCGAGAGATGAACTGGCCGTCCCGTCCTGAGAGGACGAAAATAGACCCTTTTATAAGGTCCCTGACTGTAAACCCGGCCTGTCCCTGGAGTCCCCACCATGCCTGTTCTACAAGACCGGGGACATGGCATTCTATGGGCTGTTCTTCCAGGCTTAGTCCACCCAAAATGAATATTTCAGTGCTGGTGGTGTCTGCAGTGTCCATTATGAGGGGTTCCCACCATCCCTGTGCTGAGTTCTCAGGTCTGTACACCTGCTGTGCCCATTATGAGGGGTTCCCACCATCCCTGTACTGAGTTCCCGGGTCTGTACGCCCGCTGTGCCCATTATGAGGGGTTCCCACCATCCCTGTGCTGAGTTCCCGGGTCTGTACACCTGCTGCAATCAACCTTATCCATGCGTGTGTTTAAATTTTTTTCTTTTTAAATGCCCTGTCTCTGGGTCTATATACTGTACATACATGTGGGGAACATACATGTGTTCATTAGCGATGAAGACTAATTGCTCTTTAATACTCATACCTGCTGCTCTGGTAATCTACATGCTACATTAGGTTACAGGCAAACATTGGGAACCACAACTTCCGCTGTACATCTGATTAATGGGAGAAACCAAGTTTGGAGTCCATATATATACCCATCCCATATATCCCATACATCCCATATATCCCATACATCCATACATCCCATACATCCCATACATCCCATATATCCCTCATACATCCCATACATCCCATACATCCCATACATCCCATACATATATCCCATACATCCCATACATCCCATATATCCCATACATCTCCCATACATCCCATACCCTCATACATCCCATATATCCCATACATCCCATACATCCCATACATCCCATATATCCCATC